GCTGAATGTTTTGTTAGCACACAATAAGGGATCACCCATATATCCCTAACTTTTAAGGGGTACACTCTGAAAGGGATTCACCCATCTTTGCACACAAAGGCCAAAAAAAGCATATCTTGGCATAAATTATTTTTAATAGAATTAGTGTGCATAGGGCAAGAGAGACATAGTTAGTCCACACATAACTGTAAGGAAGAAAGGACATAACTAGTAAAACTCAGAAAATTATCCATCCCCTCATGGGCAAATGCCCAGCCAAACAGGCTTGACTCAGAGCCACTGAGGCCTAAAACCTTGTCACAGGCCTAAGACACCAGCTGGCAAGGAACCACAAGAAAAGAATTAGGCAAGTCCTAGAGAGAAGGGGCAGAGGAGAGAGAGAAAACGGGAAATATAAGATATAATCCAACATGAAGTCAAGACGAAAGCAGCCTCTCTCTTCCACATCTCCTCCAAGTCTCCAGCGTGCAGATGAACCCAGACAATCAATGTAGCATAAACCCACATGTGTTTAATTATCTGCCAAGCATGGCTACTTAACTCCACCCCTGGTTCCCACAGCTCCCCCATTCTAGATGTCAAGCTCTTGGTATACCAGGAGTTGTATCCTTGGCTCCTGAGATCTCTTCGGCATGGAGATGGGGGTGTAGTCTGTAAAATTGTCAGAGTGTGGAATTCATTTAGGATGTCATTGAAGGATTCAGAGTTTACTCCTTATTCCAACAGTTTAATATGTGCCAGCTTATGCTATTGTGATTTATAATAAGAAATATGTATTTGGCTTTCTTCCCCATTCCTGGCTCAGCGCTACTTAAACGTTTGGAATTTCCAAAGCGATAAAAGTACTAAAGGTATCTTAGTGTTTACAACAAACCCCTTTCAACCAGACTGGAGTTTATGTTACTGAGATTACTTTTGGGAAGAACCTAAAAATAGGGACTGGTTACCAGGGAAACCCAACCTGAGATTAGAAAGGTTAGAGTATCACTCTCACTACTCTGATCTGGGAAGGGACTGGAAGTTGAGTCAATTGCCAACTGGGGGTCTCCCTGGTAGTGCAACGGATTAAGTCTCAGCACTATGAAGCTATCACAAGCCACAGCAGCACTATCCCCGGCCAGGGAGCTAACCCACATGGCCCAGTGGACCACTCCTGTCTCTCAGCAGTGTATTTCAGTCAGTCTACCTGTTCTGCGCCCCACTCTGTCTCTGGTGAATCCTCTTACCCATTCCTCTGCCACTCCCCCACCCCCACACACCTCTGGCTTACACCCCAGCTCTTGTATGCATTAAAAAAAATCGCCAACTGGTAATGATTTAATCACTTAGGACTTTGTAATGAAGCCTTTGTAGAAACCCAAAAGGATGGGGTTCAGAGATCTAGGTTGGTGAACATTCTGAGAGAGTGGTGTGGGAGCTCTTCACTCTTCCCACTTAGATACTGTGTCCTGGGCTGTTCCATGTGGCTCTTCCAGACTAATATCCCATTATAATAAACTGGTAATCTAGTAGGCAAAATGTTTCTCAGTTCTGTAAGGTGATCTAACATGTTAATCATATCCAAGGTAAGGATCACTTGAACCTCTGTAACCAATAGGTCAAAACCACAGGTATGGGATCTGATGTTGTTTCACTGAAGTATCAGCTTGGTAATGACTAATTATCCTTTTCTTCCCTTTCCAGTCAGAGAGGCAGCTGGTAATCTCATGTGTTGTACTGGAGTGTAAGTAACTAGGTTTCTAAAACTAGCTGTAGCCTCCTTCCTTAGAATTGACTCTTGTCATCCGTGTCCATAACTGTTAAATATGTGAGGCTGAGAAATAGCATATCCTCTGCTTCGCTTTTTCAGACACAAGGACAGTCTAGGTAGAAAGTCATAAATTATTCTAATTGCTAATATAAAGCACTTTCTGAATGGGAAATACTTGTAATTATACTTGTAATGTTACTATAAGTGTTAATTCCTTTATTTTATTAGGCTTGAATTCCACACTCAGCATTCTGAGTCCTGCTTCTGTTGCCTTATGAATCCATACTGTAGCATAATCGTATAAAAAATCCAAGTCCACAACTAGACAGTGTGACTCATCTCTTTCTGGAAAAAAAATCCCAAATGACTGATAACCTGAGCCTGTGTAGAAACGTATTCCACTGCTTTGTATTTCCTATGTGCCAAATAGTGGGATTATAATGGCATTGCCCCAGGTATGTTATTAGCAATTAGAATTTGAAACTACTAGAAGAATAGAAGGATATAGTACAATAGATGAATAAGATTCCCTCATTCAAACAACCTCAGTCTAATGAAATTTGGGCAATGTACTGCAAGCTCTCAGTTAACTTTTTTTTTGTAATGCAAATGTCTGACTCAAACTTGCTAAGGCATCCATCTACTAGGGGCATCCACTTCAAAGAGGCCTTGGCTCAAACACATGACCAGCCATATGACTAGATTTATGAATATATAGAGATGCAAATTGAAACATGGAATACATGTGGTTCTGCAAATTTCTTTTTATCCCTTAATATTGTATGTTTTAGAACGGCTCATAACAGTACATAGAAATCTGTTTTATTCTTTAAAATGGCTGCAGAGTATTATATAGTTTAAATGTATAGTAATCTCTCTACAATGATACTCCCTACTGACTCATTTCTAGTCATTCGCTGTGACAGTGCTGCAAGGAGTATCCTTCCTTAGACATGAATCTTTGGGCATCTGAGCATAATAGCATAACATATCCTATTATAGGATATATTCCTAATTGTAGAATTGCTGGAATAAATCGTGTGTGCTTTCTAACACTGGCATACTTGATCCTTTCTACTGGATCATGAATGAAATGAAATTAATGAGTTGAAAATACTTAATTTTGATTATCTATCATCTGTAATTTTTTCAAGACTTTTTAAAATTTACTTTTGTATAGAATAACTGGGGTGTAGGCCAGAGGTGGGGGGTGGTGAGAGGATTCACCAGACAGTGGGGAGCAGAAGAGGCAGATCTTCCTAAATACACCGCTAAGGGGAGCAGCAGGTGAGACAGGAGAGGTCTGCTGTGCCATATGTGGGTTAGCTCCCTGCTTGGGGAATGAACTCAGGCCAGAGTGTTGATAGCACTGAGACTTAACCCCTAGGCTGCCAGGAAGGCCCTCGCCTTTAATTTTGAAAAATTTTTTTACATATAGGGCCTCCCCAGTGGCACAGCGGGTTGAGCGCAGCACTGTGAAGCTGTCCGCAGCCTCTGCAGCACGGGTTTGATTCCTGGTCAGCCAGGGGATTCCCACATAGTGTGGCAGACCTTTCCTGTTGCGCCCGCTGTTCCCCTCAGCAGTGTATTTCGGTCATCTCCCTGTTCTGCTCCCCACTCTGTCTCAGGTGAATCCTCTCACCCTCCTGTGCCCAGCTCTTATATAAAAAATAAATAAATCATTAAAGAAAAAAGAACATTTTTTACATATATATGTTATATCATTCTTCCTTTTTGTAGCATGCATGCTTTCTCCTCTCAGGTATAGTCCCCAGAAAATTCCCGCCACCAGTTTATCCATGCATCATCACCATAGTCCCTTGTGTTCCTCCCTCCCCTGTTTTGATCCCTCTCCGTCCTCCTCCTCTGCAGAGGGTCTCTGATTAATAGTTGCCTGTCTTCACCTTTAATTTTCTAATGCAGTTTTCTATGGAGTGTTTATGGTTTTCACTGTTGCATAAATATTTTTTTACATAATAGCTAATAGTAGGGAAAATTATTTTACCAAGTAAGTGTTTAGACATGACATGATCTCTTTCTGCATTTAGCTTTTCTATATTTTAGGTTACTTTTTGAGACTAACTGCTTCAAAGTAATCATAAATCATAGTTATTTTATGAGATCTAGCATTTCCTCAAGTTTTCTTGCTATCGTTGACAAGCATCCTAAGTTCTATGCTATGTACCTTGTATTTGTGGACTTTCGATAAATATTCACCAGTACGTAAACATTCATTTAGCAACCAAATGGACTATAAGATGTACAGGTGATTTTTGCTTTTTAAGTCTTACAACAATGTTGTAGTGAACAAGACACATCATCAACACTTCCAGTAAGTATTTATAAGGTTTAAGTACATCTGAAATACACATTACATGTCCAGTCTCTAGCACTAAAGGGCCTGTAGTTAGTTAGCTTTTCAATCTAGTTTTCCTTCTGTAACCACTTTCTCTGCTAGGTTACACCCAGTGGTTACCATTTGATCAAGTGGGAATCTTCACCTAAAGCAATTGTCATCAGTTTTACTCTTAACCTAGCAGCTCCCCCACCCCACAAGGTAGAAATTTTAGGACCAGATCAAAAGGAAATAAATGAAAACTTGTATGTAAACATATGCATTATAGCTTGCCTACAGGGATCCTTGGTAGACTAATTTCTTTAGTCTAGCAGGTATGAATATTATTTTTCCTAAGCAGTTGGTTAGTTTTGATGTGAAATGTTAAAATTATTTCTCTTTTCCTTTATGTATTGGCTGTTAGAAGACTGAGTCAAATTTGTGACTTCTCTGTAGCAATTATATAGAACTGCATAGCATGGATGAACCTTACTGCCTGCCTCATTGTTGTCCTAAAGAATCACATAGATTTTGCACTAGGGTGTTTTACCCAGCACATGCCATAGTGGGTTTCCAGGACTTCAGCTGGTGGGTTTTGATCTCTGTGCTGCTGTCCTCCCCGGCTTCTTCCCTAGCTGCTGTGTGTGTGTAGGCTTCTGCTACTTCCTGACTGTAACATCCCTGTGGTGCTTCTCTTGACACACTGTTGATGACTAAAATTGTTTGCCTTATCACATAAAAAAAATTTAGATCTTTCCTAACATTGTAATAGAAAAAAGGAGGTAACTACAGATGGTAACTTAGAACTCAAGGACATATGGGTTGATGCTTGGACTTCATTTCTTATATGTTTGTAAGTTTGATGGTTTGGGTTTAATAATCTTAAAACATGTCCTTTTCTATTTTTTTCCCCAGGTGAATGTTGGATGTGTACCCAAAAAGGTAGAATTTTTATTTCTTACTCCTTTTACATTCCTTTTACATCTGGTAAATCATGGTCAAAATAATGCTGTTTCCAAGTGTATCCTTTAAAAACCCTTTTCGAAAAATTACAAAAGTAAAAGTGATTTACACAATAGGATATTTAATTTTAATAACACTACGCAGCCTGAAGCTGGGCAGTTTCTGAGACTGACTTAGCACTCAAGGATATTAGAAAGCACCCTTATTTCTCTCCATCTCTCCATTCTGATCTACCACATATATGATATTAGCAGTAACCCCACCACCGCCACCCCAGTGGTTCCAGGAGACCACTGGGTCTCACCCAGCAACCTCTATAGGTTGCTTTAGATTCTGGTCAGGACTGAATTATTCCTGTAGGAGAGACTTGAGGAAGGGAAGGATTGCTAGAGAGATAACCACAGAAACACTAACTCCTGGACACTAACTACATCCTGTATCCAGAAGAAATTCATCCTGGCCGTTCACCGTGTGCTATATTCTCATCCGTGACAAAGCTCCTATAGACGCATAGTGGGTAGTTATTCAGGAATGGAACACAGTATCTGGTCTCAAATTTCTGATGGGCTGAAAGGAACAAAATATCTAGTAATGGCATAGATAGCTTTCTATATGGGATGACTCTTCCTCAGTAGGGAACTCTAGCCAGGAAATAAGAAAGTTTTCAAGCAACTCTCAGCGGAAATGCTGGTATGAAAGAGACCAGGTGGATAGTGTTTGCAGATGGAAGCATCTCCCACAGACAGCTCTGCTTAACTGCCTACAATGCTGCTCCGATGTGTCTCTGAATCAGTTTTTCCTGGGGAGACTAGAATTGTTTTTCTTCCAGAAAGATTTTTTTTAAGATTTATTTATTTATTTATACAAGAACCGCAGCCCAGCACTCAACTGCTGCGCCACCAGGGAGGCCCTAGAAAGATGTTTTATGGGTTTTTTTGTTTGTTTGTTTTATTTTGTGGTAGTTTTTGTTTTAAAACAAAGAAAGCTATGTTGATTCATGTTAAAATGAATGAATGATTGATGTTAAAATCTATGAATGATTCATGTTAAAATCTCATGTCTTATGACTGGGTATCTAGTGGTCACTCTAAGACTGAGTTTCTCAAGTTGCTTGAATGACATTTGTGATTATAGTTTTGGGTAACTTTGTGGTAAGCAGTCTTGATAGAACTATATACTTAGGTCTTAGTCCCCATCTTTGCTGCTCAGTATTTCAAGTTTTTGGTACCCTCAGGAGAGATCAGACAGACTAGTGAATTGATTACCCAACTACAAAGAAATTGTTTTATAAAACAATACATTGATTGATTAGGGTGAGTGAGATTATATCTGGACCAATTAGGAATGGTTATCTGTACAGAGTAGCTTTTTCACAATAGGGAAACCCAGATGGTAAATCAAATTATGAATAGAATCTTAACTATTTCCATTCACTCCTTTAGCAGCAAAGATTCTCTCTGCCACTATAGTGGTTTTGGTTTCAATATCTGTCACAATGAATGAACTTAAATTCACCTTTTTTTTTGTTTGTTTAAAGATTTTGTTTATTTTTGCATAGAAGAATGGGGATGCAGGCCAGAGGTGCAGGGGGTGAGAGGATTCACCGGACACAGAGTGGGGAGCAGAATAGGCAGATTGACTGAAAAATACTGCTGAGGGAAGCCGCAGGCGAAACAGGAGAGGTCTGCTGCACCATGTGGGTGGCTCCCTGGCTGGGATTGAACTCAGGCTCTGGTCGTGGGCATTCACGGTGGTAGCACTGAGACTTAATCCTTAGGCCACCAGGGAGGCCCTTAAATTTCACCTTTGACAAAGTGAAAGAGATGGCAACTCTTATTTCTGAAACTGCAGCTTGTTTATACTTGCAAGTAATTTTATTCCTTATTTGAATGTACTTTCAAATTATGTTATAATCCAAAAATACAACTCTTTGTTACTGAGATTGCATTTTAAATTGGCAGCTTATTTTGTGGCGTGTAAGCAAATATTCTACTCTCACCAGAGACACACCTTGAATTTAATTCCCTAAAGGTTTTCTGTAATCTGTTCCCTAGTCTAGGTAATTTGTTTATTTTAGGAAATTTTTCTGGGATGGTTTTCTTCAGTTGTTTTCTTTCCTTTTACTCCTGGAATTTGGAATCTGTTCTACTTGGAAGCATGCAGTTGTAGATATATGAATTATATAAATAGTTCTAAGGTGCTTTCCATAGTTTAATCCAGTTATAATAGTAAATATGGCCTTGATTGGTGCACCATCTTTATTTTAAAATACCTTCTGGTTAATAGTGCATAGTAGCATGATTTTGTAATATTTTGTTCCCATATATTGTGTTTTACTTAGTCCTTTCATTCTTAACACTTATGCTGGACATTTACCTTTTATTTTTGTAGAACTCTACTGATTTCACAGTGCTTTTGCATTCTTGAAGATCAGTTAATAATTCCTCTTACTTTGTAGAAGAATAGACCTAAGCCTAGAAACTTCTCCCCCCACCCGCCCCCCAAAAGTGTAGAGTGAAGCAACAGTAGAGAAGGAACTAGACATGATTAGGTGTAAACCTAAAAGCCCAAAGCAGTTCATATCGAGACACCCTCTAAAGAGGGTGTTAATTACTATAATGATATAAATTGGAAATAAATATGGGATATCTCATGATGATATGAGACATACTGAAGTTTCCTAAAATAACTATGTCATATTTACAAATTTTTCATATGCATTGATAAAACAAAGAGTCTAGCAGATAAAATGTTTTATTCTATGTTTTATGAATTTCACCTCAATTAAAAAAAACAAACTAGCAGAGTTGTTAATTTATTCATCTTTAGGCATAAAGGCAGAAATATACAAAGAAGGCATCCGAGGCTTCTCAAAAAGGAATCTTGAGCTTATCTGGCAAAGAAGATGGTAGTTTGTCATCTAGAGTTCTGAGTATTGATGTGAGTTCAGTAATGATGATCAGTTGGTATAAAAGGTCTTCACAGATTATATGCTACATTTCCCAAAACATGCATCAAACTTCTGACTTCCAGATGTCTAATTGCACACATCCTTACAAGGACATGTTTGTAGCTACTGCACACATAATGGGAATTCATTTAATAATTTCCTTTTGAGCCACTTTGTTGTGAAATACAGATGAAATTCAGTTTCCAAGAACTAATCACAAAAGCAGTGCTTAAAAAAATCTGGGACTTTCAAAAAGAGAACGTAAGCAACAATAAATGTAATTAAAATAATAATTTTAATGGAAGGACTTTGAGGCTTGTAACATCCTCCTTTTATAGACTTTAACAGTGGAAGTAATTTCCCCCAACTTTGGGAAATCTTGCTATAAAATCTATCTGGCCATGTTATTGAACTTTCTCTTTTAAAATGTTTAGTTTTGTTTTGAATTTAAGGCTAAGAATTTTTACCTGCAATTATATAGTACCCTTTCGTGCATGATTTCTGTTTTCCCCCAGGGCACATTGCTACTGTTGTTCACATTTATTTATTTGTCTTTTACAGGTGATGTGGAACGCAGCTGTCCATTCTGAATTCATGCATGATCATGTTGACTATGGCTTCCAAAGTTGTGAGAGTAAATTCAATTGGCGGTAAGTGTGTTAGTGCCCAGTATGTTAAAAATAATTTGTAAATATTTGTAAGAAATATTTTTCTCTCATAATTAAACTGAACCATAAGCTTTTCTGAGAGTGCTGTTATTGTACAATATATATAATATAAACTTGTGTAAGTTATGTATGTGCTTATGGTCTTCGTTGTGGTGATGGTTCCACAGGTGAAAACTTATCTCCAAACTCACTTGGTTGTTTACATTAAATATTGCAGCGTTTTGTCTGTCAATCATACTTCAGTAATGTGGTTTATGACAATATACATACACCCCATAAAAATTTCCATTCTAGCCATTTTCTATGTCTAATTCAGTGTTATTATTAAATATATGATATTTAATAAGGGTGCACACACGCTTGGCATTTTGCCACCATTACTACTATCCATTTCAAGAACTTTTCCACCATCCCAAACAGAACCTATGTGCCCATTAAATAATAATTCCTCATCTCCCCTCCCCTCAACCTCTGGTGCTTCCATCCTATTTCCTTTATGGATTTGTTTTTATGGATTTGTTTTTATGGATTTGTTTTATGGATTTGTTTTATGGATTTGTCTTTATGGATTTGTTTTTCCTAGGGTTCTTCATACAATGCTTGTCCTTTTATGCCTGTTTTAGTTTATTTAGCATGATGTTTTCATAGTTGATCCATGTGTGGCATGTATCCACATTTCGTTTATTTTTAAAGTTGAGTAATATTCCATTGTATTTATATACCATGTTTTTTCCAACCATTCTTCAATGGACTTTTGGATTGTTTCCATCTTTTGTTAATTGCACATAATACCACAATGAACATTGGTCTCCAAGTCCCTGCTTTCAATTCTTTTGGGTTTAAGAGAATTTGTGTCAAGAGTGGAATTGCTGGGTCATAGGGCAGTTTAATGTTTAGATTTTTTTTTAAGATTTATTTATTTATGCATACAAGAACTGGGGTACCGGCCAGAGGTGTGGGGTTGGGGGGGGGGTTTGAGAGGATTCACCAGAGACAGAATGAGGAACAGAACAGGTAGACTGACTGAAATACACTGCTGAGGGTAGCAGCGAGCAAGGCAGGAGAGGTCTGCTGTGCCATATTGCCCAGGGATCGAACTCGTGCTGCAATGGCTGCGGATAGCTTCATAGTGCTGAGACTCAACCTCTTGCACCACCAGGGGGGCCCCTAATGTTTAGCTTTTTAAGGAACTGCCATAAACTTCTTGAAGTTTAAATAATTTTAGCAAATCCATTTATTCAGAAAATATTATCGAGTGATGACCACATAGTAGGCACTGTGCCAAAACAGTTCTCCTTATCTTCTGTGCAGACAAAAATTTACATGTCATGGAAGCCCACTGAGCAGTTCTCCATGGGATAGAATAGGGGTTCTATAGATGTGGGAAGGCAAATGGACATGGGAAGGGGCACCTGTCTTCAAAGACATTCACTCACTGGGGTTCTTGCTGACAGTCTGGTGTTCTCTACTCAGCGGTGTTCAGGGTCAGAGCACCCTGAACTCATTACTCAACTGAAAGAGGCAAATCTTGTTTCTCAGGACTGACTCAGGTTTCATTGCAGCATTATAAAGGAAAAGCGGGATGCCTATGTAAGCCGCCTGAACACCATCTATCAAAATAATCTAACCAAGGTGAGTGTGCTGAGTTTTGGACTTTGAGAAGGAGTTGTTCTTGCTGGAATATGCTTCCACATCTGGCTAGACTAGAATGTAGCCTATGAATGTAGCTCTTGTTTCTTTTATTTCTTTTACTATTAGTGATTTTGAGATTACCTATCAGCAGAAAGTCTTACCTAAGTATTAATTGTCAAAGTTCTGCAAAAACTCAAACATCAGAGTATTTGGCATTAGCAAACAAAAAGAATCCTCAGCACAGAAATGGAAAGATCTAAAAAGTTGCAGTAGATAGTTTTTTCTTTTTCTTTTTTTTTTTTACTCTTAAAAACAGGCTAATGTTATGACTCCTTCTTCAGTCCCACATAGATATCATCCATGGCCATGCAGCTTTCACATGTGATCCCAAACCCACAGTAGAGGTCAATGGGAAAAAATACACTGCTCCGCACATCCTGATTGCCACAGGTGGTATGCCCTCCTATCCTCAGGAGAGCCAGATCCCTGGTGAGTTTTCCAAAGGTTTAGCCTAATTAATAACAGTCAGAGGAGTTTACCGTTGTTTTCTTATATATTTTTTAAGATTTATTTATTTATGCATACAAGAACTGGGATGTAAGCCAGAGGTGTGGGGGGTGAGAGGATTTACCAGAGAGACTGGATCCACTGAAATACACTGCTGAGGGGAGCAGCAGGTGAGGCAGGAGAGGTCTGCTGTGCCATGTGGGTTAGCTCCCTGGCCCGCCAGCTGAACTCATGCTGTAGTGACTGGCACTAGCTTGATAGTACTGTCTTTAACCCCTATGCCACCAAGGAGGCCCCTACCATTGTTTTCTACTTTACAAACCATGCCAAGGGATCTGTGTATACCAGTTCATTCTTTTGGACAAGGCAATGAGAGAATAGCTCAGCAGAACCTAAATGTAATTGGCTTAAGTGGAGCCTAGTAAAAGGGCAAAGACAGACATTTCATCTAGCCGTGCCTGACATTTCATCTCAGGCATACATAGGTAACAGGAAGAATAATCCACAAGAGCCTCAACCTTTACTTCTCAGCATGATAGAGATTCTCTCTCGCATGTTTGTCAAATGGGTTGTTACGGGCCTCTCTGGTGGCATAAGGGGTTGAGACGCAATCTATGAAGCTATCTGCAGCCATTGCAGCATGAGTTCGATCCCCAGCCAGGGAGATATCCACAAGGCGCAGCAGACCTCTCCTCACTTGCCCGCTACTCCCCTCAGCAGTGTATTTCAGTCAGTCTGCCTGTTCTTTTCTCCACTCTGTCTCTGGTGAATCCTCTCACCCCCCCCCCCACACACACACTTCTGGCCTGTACCCCAGTTCTTGTATGCATAAATAAATAAATCTTTTTTAAAAATGGGTTGTTACAAGACATGTGATATCTTTATTAAGGGGATAGTGAAAGAAGGAATCACAATTGACAACTCAAGGCTTGGGATTCTTGGTGGAAGGTGGGCCTTTTAAGGGAAGTGGTAAATTTGAGAGAGGGATATGGTTTGGGAGATAAAAGATAATTCTATTCTAAATATGTTGAGTTTGATACTGAGTAGAATTACATAGTGGGATAGTTAGAAATATGCACCTGGAACATGAGGAGAAGGTCAAAGCCTGAACTACAAGTTGAGGAAGTTGATCAAAATTTTTGAACCAAAAAGCAGAGGCAAAGGCCAAGTTTGATCTAAAGGTAGGAAAGTGACAGAAAGCCAGCAAGGAGACTATTCAGTGAGAGCTGAGAAGATCTTAGATCCTCAGAGAAGTTTCATTGCTCCAATTTCTAGAGAGAAAATTAAAATGTTGACTCAGGGAAGATCTGGTTGGCATCTTCCCAAGTAGAGACTTCAACAAAATTTGTCAAAACAGAGAGTGTGATGACAAAGTATTTGGTTCTTGCATTAAATGTTGTGATTATTTTACAAGAGAAAGCTTGGTCTGTGTGATCTACATTGCATTTTCCTACATAGGTGCTAGCCTGGGAATAACCAGCGATGGATTTTTTCAACTGGAAGAATTGCCTAGGTAAGCTGATTTCCTTCGTGCCCTCAGTGTTCCATCTTCCTCAGTGTCTGCTGCTAACATTTCTTCTTCCTCACCTTCCCAGTCATTAGAAGTGGATATTTCCTGAATTCTGTTCTATTTTTAGGACCTTGGGTATCTCATCCACTAACACCTCTAAGTAAAGGATTCAAGTCTTTTGTGCCTTTGCAGAAATCTTCTTTTTTATTTTTTTTAAAGATTTATTTTTTATTTGTTTATACATACAAGAGCTGGGGTGTAGGCCAGAATTGTGGGGTGTCAGAGGATTCACCAGAGATAGAGTGGGGAGCAGAACAGGTGGATTGACTGAAATACACTGTTGCGGGGAGCAGTGGAACGAGACAGAGAGGTCTGCAGCACCATGTGGGTCAGCTCCCTGGCTGGGGATCGAGCTCGTGCTGCAGTGGCTGTGGATAGCATCATAGTGCTGATACTTAGCCCCTCGCACCACCAGGGAGACCCTGCAGAAATTTTAGAACCAGAATCAAATACAGAGTGGTTTTGAAGAATTAACAGTAAAGTCCAAAAACTGTCCTTTTTCTTGAACCTGGGACAGCATCAATTAATACTGTGTCTGAAGTAATTGATTCTGGTTTTCAAAGCAATTCATGCAGAGGCATCTTGATAAATGAAGGCTCTTCAGACTCACACAAATAGAGTTTTTCTCATTGTCCTTTCTGTGTGTTTGCTCAAACAGCCTTAGTAAAATTCTTTCATAGATTTATATGTGGAAAGAGAAAAAAGATAATGAGAAAGATTATTTTTGTAATTCGAGGGAGCTGCCTACTGCATGCTTTTTAGGTTAAAGGGATTTTCTTTTCACTCATGATAAAAGATGATACCTCTGAATTGGAGGAGGGACACTGTTAGCCTTTGTTGCTTGGTGAGTAACACTCACTCTGGAGCCATTATTGCTCTGGAGCCATTATTGCTCAACTCTACTGCTCACTTGGCAGATATTGTTAATGCAATTTGAGGTCTTAATCCTGTGCTTTCCGAAAGACCTTCATGAAGGGTGACTCATAATCCATGCTCATACCTTTACCTTAAATCACTAGGAGCCGCCGGGCGTGGTGGCGCGCGCCTGTAGTCCCAGCTACTCGGGAGGCTGAGGCTGGAGGATCGCTTGAGTCCAGGAGTTCTGGGCTGCAGTGCGCTATGCCGATCGGGTGTCCGCACTAAGTTCGGCATCAATATGGTGACCTCCCGGGAGCGGGGGACCACCAGGTTGCCTAAGGAGGGGTGAACCGGCCCAGGTCGGAAACGGAGCAGGTCAAAACTCCCGTGCTGATCAGTAGTGGGATCGCGCCTGTGAATAGCCACTGCACTCCAGCCTGGGCAACATAGCGAGACCCTGACTCGAAAAAAAAAAAAAAAATAAAAAAATAAAAAAAAAAAATCACTAGGAGCCACAGGTTTAAAAAAAACTCTCCTGTAAATAAAAAATTTTCTCAAATAGGTTTACTGAATTTAAAAATACTTACCCTGTGCTCTCATTTTAGGCGCGCTGTCATTGTTGGTGCAGGTTACATTGCTGTGGAGATAGCTGGGATCCTTTCAGCCCTGGGTTCTAAGACATCACTAATGATACGGTATGATAAGGTAAAGTCTGTCTTTTCCCCTCCCTTTTCCCTGATGTTAATTTTTTCAAGAACCTACAGCAAGAATTTTATTTTGTCTTTAAATGCTAGGGTGTAAAGCATGTGGAAGTCAGCCGTTTTGGTCCATGTGGGGCTTTATCCCAGCTATTTGAATTAGGCGTTATGTGCTTCCCAGATATCAGCTGCTATTGATTTTTGATACTAATGATTTTTGTGTCATCATACTAGTTGGTAGTTTCATCATAAGGTGGTAGCTAATATCAAATACCTTAATAAGGAGACACAGAGGTTTAAATATAAATACTAAATTGAACAGGCTATCTGGTTAATCTCTTATTCTGAAAATCAGTTTCATATGATCATATAGTGCTGGATTGTTAATATTTAATCAAGACATTTGCTAAATTCTCTGCATGAAAAGGAAACTTATTAAAAATATTTGCCGACCAATATTATGACAGCATTATTCACAATGTCAAGAAATGGAAGCAACCCCAATGTCCATTGATAGATGAATGGATAAGCAAAATGTGGTATATTCATACAGTGGAATATAATTCAGCTTTAAAATGGAAGGATGGGGCCTCCCCGGTGGCGCAGCGGTTGAGCGCTGGGTTGCGAAGCTGCCCGCGGCCTCTGCGGCGCCGGTTCGATCCCCGGCTGCTCCCCGGCCACCGGAGGAGGGTCCCACATGGCGTGCAGACTTCTCCTGCCGCCCGCTGCTCCCCTCAGCAGTGTACTTCGGTCCTTCTGCCTGCTCTGCTCCCCGCTCTGGCTCTGGTGAATTCTCTCACCCTCCCGCGCTTCTGACTGTACCCAGTGCATGTATAACCAAACAAACAAACCAGCAAACAAATAAATAAAGCATGCCTCTATAAAATAAAATAAAATAAAATAAAATAAAATGGAAGGATGCTCCGACATGCCACAATATGGATGAACCTTGAGGATATTATGTGAAATAAAATAAACCAGACCAAAAAAAGTCAAATATTGCAGTGACTCCCCCGCCTTGTATGAGCATGTAGAACAGTCAGACTTATAGACAGAAAGTAGAATGATGGTTTTCAGGAAATTGGGGGAGGAAGAAAAATGGTGAGTTTTTCAATGGGTATAAAGTTTCCATTTTGAAATGAGAAAAAGTTCTGGGGATTTGTTATACAACAGTGTGAAATATACTTAACACTATGTAACTGTGAATTTAAAAATGGTGAAATTGGTAAATTTAATGTTACATATTTTTTAACCACAATTTAACAAAATAATAAAGCTTATAGATTGTCTACTCAAACCATATTTTATAGAGTAGGAAATTAAACCCAAATAAGGTTTATGATTGCTCATTGGTGTCAAAACTGAGAGTAAATTAAGGTTTCAGAATGCCCAGGCCAGTATTTGTTCTGCTAAAATTCAACTTCCATGTTTGTCATTACTTGATGAGATACTGTCTTTTATGTTTTGTTGCTTGGTGACTGAGCACCAATGGGTTGTGGCACGGTATTGGAGCTTTCAGAGACATGGCAGTAACAAGAGCATTGGCCTAAGTTCTGGCCCCTAAGAATCTGGCTTTTCATGTCAAGTTCATGTCAAGAACTAGGGCTCATTTTGTCCTGCCTTTGGGATAGGATTTATAAGATCTCTGAACACTCAAATGCTGTGATATTAATTCTTGATTATTTGAGCAAATGGAAAAGGAAAAAGAAAACCAAAATCCTAGTTAGCGTGCACTCCAAGGAACTTTCTGGCTTTTAGACTTGCCATATAATTAACTCCCAGAGGCTTTATGTCCTGAGCCATGTTTTTCGTTGATAAACTTTGTTTTGCATTGTTGGGCTTTATCCAGCAAATTGGATGGGAGGAGAAAGTCAGAGGGATGCTAGTCTGAATGTAATTTATAATATATATAATATATAATAAGTAACTAAATCACAGAAGTTTAGCAGAGTGGATGATTCCTGCATTTGTCGAGAGCCACATCTACTTGACTTTTGCCCTCTCCTACCCCCAATGGATGAGACTCATCCTCCTTCTTCTCCTTGTCCCAGGGTACTTTTATTCTAGCTCTACTCTGAATAACCCATGTCAGTTTACTTTTACCTTGCCTGGGGTGCATTTCATGTGTGGTATCACATAATCTCTAGAGAAAAAAAAAATATGAGGCCTAAGTAAAGTTAGACAGCAACGACTATTTTATTTATTTTTTTTTTTTAATTTTTTTTTTTTTTATAGAGGCATGTTTTATTTATTTATTTTATTTGTTTGTTTTGTTTTTACATGCACTGGGTACAGTCAGAAGCATGGGAGGGTGAGAGAATTCACCAGAGCCAGAGTGGGGAGCAGAGCAGGCAGAAGGACCGAAGTACACTGCTGAGGGGAGCAGCGGGCGGCAGGAGAGGTCTGCGCGCCATGTGGGACCCTCTTCCGGTGGCCGGGGAGCAGCCGGGGATCAAACCGGCGCCGCAGAGGCCGCGGGCAGCTTCGCAACCCAGCGCTCAACCGCTGCGCCACCGGGGAGGCCCAGCAACGACTATTTTAAAGAATACTTTTCTCTAATAACATCAATAACGATTTCTCTAGGATAGTAATGGAAGCCATCATTGGAACATTGAAATCCAACTGGAAAAAATATAATGGGAATTTTGAAAAAGAATAACAATCCTGACAGCAAAAACAGATTATTATGTTGATTCTATTATTTCAATCATGTTATGCTACAGAATTCATGTAGCTCTTAATTAACTCAAGGTTTCATAAGATTCTCATTTTCATTGAACTTCACAAGGCAAGCAGTGGTCATGGTCCTAGTGGTGCTTTTAAATGGCTTCCACATTTGTAGGGTGAGAAAAAGCAAGTGCATAATATTGTGGAAAGAACTTGACCTGAAGAATCAGACCCATGTCAATTCGAATCTTAACTCTAGTCCTTTCTAGTGAAAATCACTCCACTTCTTGAAATCTCAGCTTCCTCATCAGAAAAGTAAAATTATATGATTAGAAGGATTTGAGGATAGATTACACTTGACTTTTCTGCCTAGATTTTGGAGATAAGGAGTTTTTTTGTTTGTTTTTTTTTTTAAGATTTATTTATTTATACAAGCACTGGGTACAGTCAGAAGCGTGGGAGGGTAAGAGAATTCACCAGAGCCAGAGCGGGGAGCAGAGCAGACAGAAGGTCCGAGGTACACTGCTGAGAGGAGCAGCGGGCGGCAGGAGAGGTCTGCGCGGACATGTGGGACCCTCCCTCCGGTGGCCAGGGAGCAGCCGGGAATCGAACCTGCACTGCAGAGGCTGCGGGCAACTTCGCAACCCAGCGCTCAACCACTGCGCCACCGGGGAGGACCTGGAGATAAGGAGATTTTGTGAAAGAATCTTCCCATAAGTCATCAGAAGGAAAATTGACCTTAAAATACTGAAAGGGAAAAGAGTCTGGTCTTTAAACTTACAGAAATAAAGAAGCAAACTTGGGAGCAGAGGAACATGGCAAAGATAGTAGAGGTATGAAGATCTAAAGTCTGAAACAGAGGTTGGTGAAATTTGGTGTAATAGAGACATTGGTAGCAACTTAGGAAAACAGAGGACTTATTAAAACCCTATTCACCATGTGGAGGAAGGATATAAGAGGAAGGATAATACTGAAATTTCCCTTCAAAGTTTATAACAGATCTCTAATCAAGTTTTATTTCTTTCCTACCACCCTCCCAATGCTGCCTCTGTTTGTATATAGGTACTTCGAAATTTTGATTCATTAATCAGTTCAAACTGCACCGAAGAGTTGGAGAATGCTGGCATAGAAGTCCTGAAGTTCTCCCAGGTACGACTAAGCCCCGGGAATGCTTACAGCCTTTGCTGATCTATCGGTGATGAATCACATTTCTTTGCTTTTGGCTTCATCCAATTAGCTTTATAAACAAACTCTGTATCTATTCCTTTCAGTAGTACAACCAGTTCTTTATCCTAAGAAGGTGTATCTCCCATTAATGTTAGTGAAGTCAGGGCATAATAGATTAGAATAATGGTGGTTGCATTTAGTTTATCAGAACTGAAACTTTAATTTTTGTGTTCAGCTACCATACTGAACATACTTAGTTCTCAAAAAATATTGTGGAGTTTATTTTTTTTTTATTTGTTTGTTTGTTTGCTTGTTTTGTTTATACATGCACTGGGTACAGTCAGAAGTGCGGGAGGGTGAGAGAATTCACCAGAGCCAGAGCGGGGAGCAGAGCAGGCAGAAGGACCGAAGTACACTGCTGAGGGGAGCAGCGGGCGGCAGGAGAGGTCTGCGCGCCATGTGGGACCCTCCTCCGGTGGCCGGGGAGCAGCCGGGGATCGAACTGGTGCCGCAGAGGCCGCGGGCAGCTTCGCAACCCAGCGCTCAACCTCTGTGCCACCGGGGAGGCCCTGTGGAGTTTATTTTTAAAGTATATTGTTCTTAGGTTCCATAGACAGAATTACAAAGTACTTGAGCTCTCAGGGAATCACCTAAATTTCAAGGTTTTCATTTCTTAAAGAAATGAAAAATGATTGTAATTGTAAAGATTGTAAATGATTGTAAAGAATGTAAAAATGATTCTCTTTGCCATAGCTTCACCCTTTCAGCAAAGGTCATGTCAGGTGAAACGATGAATGTGAACATGCTTTGTGAATGTAAAAATGCTAGTTGGTGGTAGCAGTCAGCGTCAGAGTCACCTTTGGATCTTCACTGAACTCTAGACTGGCCTCACTCCCCTAGCTTGATCTTAACCCCTTTCCCATTCTGTAAAATGCACAGTTTAAAATACCTAGTTTTAGGACCTCCCAGGTGGTGCAAGGGTTAAAGACAGTGCTATCAAGCTATGGCCAGCCACTGCAGCATAAGTACTGAGTTCGAGTTTGATCCATGGTCAGGGAGCTACCCACATGGTGCAGCAGACCTCTCCTGTCTCACCTGCTGCTCCCCTCAGCAGTGTATTTCAGTAGATCCACCTGTTCTACTTCCCACTCTGTCTCTGGTGAATCCTCCCACCCCACCCCCTGCACCTCCTGCCTACACCCCAGTTTTTGTATGTCTAAATAAATAAATTTTTGAAAAAAAAAAACCTGGTTTTAAGCTGAAGCATCATGGTAGTGACATGAGCTGACATGTCTCATCATTAACTGTGATTTGTGGCAATCTGGGAAAAAGGCTGGGTTCCAGGGAGTATGAGTGGCCTTTGGGAGAAGTCAATGTGTCAATGAGTAATATTCAGTGGGGTTTTTTTTCAATGTTTAAGATTCTAGTTTGCTCTTCATTTGCTTTGCCTCCTCCCTCATTAACACATTTTATTTGTCAGTAGATCAAGGAGGTTAAGAAGACGTCTTCAGGTTTAGAACTCTGTATGATCACTTCAGTCCCTGGTAGGAAGCCCACCTTGACCACGATTCCAGATGTTGACTGTCTGCTCTGGGCCATTGGGCGGAACCCAAATTCCAGGAGCCTGAATTTAGACAAACTGGTAAGATGACTTAGTCTGCCCAGAACATTCCTGAATCTGTTTTTTTCCACCTGTGCTTTCCCACCACCATCCCCTGTGTCCCAAAACTTACGTGGGTTCTCTTAGATTCTCTTTACTCCTTGCATGCAGTTTGTCATAAAATCCCATTGCTTTTTCCTTTGAATTAAAAGAAGATTCTTTTTCCTTTCTAGTGCCTTCACCTTGTGTCAGATCCCCACCACCTAATCTAGGCTGCCCAACAGTTTCTTGGCTAACATCACCTCCTCAGAGGTTTCCTTTTTACTATGATACTTGTTTATTTAAAGCCCTGTAATTATTCCTTATTGAGTGCAGCTCTAATCCCAATTGCTGGGTGTGTAACTCATTCTAGACAATTGTGATACTCAAGGTTGGGAACAGACATGAAGCAGATCTACCAGTGCTATAATTAGTATTCTTATTTGTTCGTTAAATTTTGAAGGAAAGTGGTTATACTAGCTTGCGGCATGGGTCCCAGAGTTTGACCCAGTTTTGAACCTTAGTGCCATTATTTCCAGTTGCATGGCCTTAAGCGAGCAGTTTAATTACTCTAAAATTTCAATGGCTTCACTTAAATATGGGAATAAAAATAGTATTTGCCTCATTGGGTTATGGAGAAAGGTATGTAAGAAAGCACAGCAACATAATTAACTTAGATACTGACTAATTTCCATTTAAAAAAAATAATTATTCCCTTATTATAAGATTTTTATTTTATTTATTTGTGCATAAAAGAACTGGAGTGTAGGCCAGAGGTGTGGGGGTTGAGAGGATTCACCAGAGACAGAAGAGGGAGCAGAACAGGTGAATTTACTGAAATACACTGCTAAGGGGAGCAGTGGGCAAGACAGGAAAGGTCTGCTGCACCATGTGTGGGTTAGTTCGCTGGCCGGGATTGAACTCAGGCTGTAGAGGTGATGGTGCTGAAAGTTAACCCCTAGGCTACCAGGGAGGCTCTAATTTAAGCATAATAACCATTCTTAGCATAATAACCAACTGTTATTGATGAGATGATTTTTCTAATTTGCCATCCTACTCTTAATATTTTACATGTTTGAAATTTTTGTATTTGATGGAGCCTCTTGAACAGTGTGGAACATTATAATATATGTTCTAATATTAATGTGTTACAGTGTGAGTTCCCTTTTTTGTCAAAGGTATTTTTCACCATTAAAAAAATATTAGGTGGTGGGGCCTCCCCGGTGGCGCAGTGGTTGAGCGCTGGGTTGCGAAGCTGCCCGCGGCCTCGGCAGCGCCGGTTCAATCCCCGGCTGCTCCCCAGCAACCGGAGGAGGGTCTCACATGGCGCGCAGACCTCTCCTGCCGCCCGCTGCTCCCCTCAGCAGTGTACTTCGGTCCTTCTGCCTGCTCTGCTCCCCGCTCTGGCTCTGGTGAATTCTCTCACCCTCCCACACTTCTGACTGTACCCAGTGCTTGTATAAACAAAACAGACAAACAAAATAAATAAATAAAAAACATGCCTCTATAAAAAAAAAAAAGGCTAATAAATCTTTCAAAAAAAAGATTTTAAAAAAAATATATTAGGTGGTGTGCAGACCTCTCCTGCCATCCACTGCTCCCCTCGGTGGTATACTTCGTCAGTCTGTCTGTTCTGCTCTCCGCTCTGACTCTGGTGAATTCTCTCACCCTCCCGCGCTTCTGACTGTATCCAGTGCTTGTATAAATAAATAAATAAAATCTTATTAAAAAAAAATATTAGGGAGGGGGACTCCCTGGTGGCGCAGGGGTTAAAGTCAGCACTATCAAGCTATCTGCATCAACTGCAGCATGAGTTCAATCCCAAGCTAGGGAGCTAACCCACATGGCATAACAGACCTCTCCTGTCTTGCCTGCTGCTCCCCTCAGCAGTGTTTTCTATAGATCCACCTGTTGTGCTCCTCTGTCTCTGGTTAATCCTCTCACCCCACAACACTACACTTCTGGCCTACACCCCAGTTCTTGGATGCATAAATAAATAAATCTTTTTAAAAAACTAAATAAATAAAATTTAAAAATACCAAGGAAATATTTTAGTTGTTTTTAATCTCATTGTTCAATGAGGTTTAGTAAAAACTAGTTGTCTATTTTCATGTTAACAATACTAGTCATCCAACTTTTTACCTCTTAGCTATTTTGCCTTTGTACTGATGTAGGTTTTGGTAGGTTCAGTTTTCAACTGTATTTGCTGAAATCTTTTTTAATGAGGGAGAATTTTTCATTTACATTCAGTATTATGATATATTTGTATAATGCAATTTAAATTATTACTATGTATATGTCTTGTCAATATGTATGTAGTCTTGTCAGTAGCTCTTTGAGGGGGTTAAGGTAAGGAAACTAACCACACAAGGAGCATAAATAATTCATTGGGCTTTTAAACTCTAGGGATAGGAAGGATATCTATATTATGTACCACTGTATGCACAGTGACTAGGTTGATGCCTCATTTGTATTAGAAGCTCAGATATTTCTTGATAAATACTAGGTGTCTGTCCAAGGTCTCATTACTTGTTAGTGGATTAGTAGATATTAACGTAGGTCTCTATTGGCTCTTAACTACCATGCTACCTACTGCCCACTTTCCGCTAGCTGTGTGTGGAAAAACTTGCTACTTCTTACATGGGAATGTACACACTTCGGATCTGCTGAGCCCTAAGATGAACATGACCCATTATGTTGGAGCAAAATTTCTCTCATTATTTAGGAAAAATAGCTTAAAGGAAGCATCTATATGTATATCAGAGTAGAATATATACCCTGCTTTGATTTTTAAAGATAAACTTGTAAGGCTTAAAGAAATTTGTTTTTGATGACTGTTTCAGGCTCTGCCCTGGTAATGTGAGAGCCTCCTTTAGTAGGGGTGCTTCAGTGGAAAAAGTTGAAAAGCACTGTCTTAGATGGACTGTACAGGGATAGCAAGTAGCACATCTTATAGTTAGGTGATTCCTTTTAACTTTTACCTGTCAGTTGAATTGTATGTTGCAAAGTCAAGTTCTATTAAAAAAAACCTCAAAAATGATACAATATTTACCTTTTAAATTAAACAAAAGATATGGAACAAAAAGCCCCACTTCCTTTAAAAAGTGGGGGCAGGCCTGACCTTGGTGCCCTGTAAGTGGCAACTCTAGGCTTTTTGTTTTTATTGCTTTATTCACTTTTTTGGTTGGTCTCGTACTGAGTTTATTTACAAAAGATGTATTTTGTTGAACCAAATATTAAAATGGAAAACATCAAGGCCTCCTTGGTGGTGCAGGGGTTAAAGTCTCAGCTGTATCAAGCTGTCACCAGCCACTGCAGCATGAGTTGCGTCCCTAGCCAGGGAGCTAACCCACATGGCGCAGCAGACCTCTCTTGTCTCACTTGCTGCTTCCCTCAGCAGTGTGTTTCAGTCAGTCTGCCTGTTCTGTTCCCCACTCTGTCTCTGGTGAATCCTCTCACCCCTCTCTCCACACCTCTGGCCTACACCTCAGCTCTTGTATACATAAATAAGTAAAATAAATCTTTTTAAAAAAGAACAACAACAACAAAAAAGAAATCACAAGATTCAATGAATGATGATGAAAACATCTTAACAAGCTGGCTTTTTTTTAAATGGAGTTTCCATTTTATTTATTTTTCAAAAGATTTATTTTATTTATTCATATAAGAGCTGGGGTATAGACCAGAGCTGGGGTGTAGACCAGCGGTGCGGGGAGGTGAGAGGATTCACCAGAGACAGAATGGGGAGCCGAACAGGCGACTGACTGAAATAAACTGCTGAGGGGAGCAGCAGGCAAGACAGGAGAGGTCTGCTGTGCCATGTGGGTTAGCTCCCTGGCTGGAATCAAACTTGTGCTGCACTGGCTGCTGATAGCTTCATAGTGCTGAGACATAACCCCTGCACCTCCAAGGAGGCCCGAATCTTGTGCTTTCTTCAAGATTCAGGTTGAAGAGTTTCCTGAAGTGAGGTAGAGCCAGAGATTTGATCTGCTGGTTTTTGTAGATAGGCCATATACTTACATGATGTCCCTTCACAATTTTAGGGCATTCAAACTGATGACAAAGGTCATATCACAGTAGATGAATTCCAGAATACTAATGTAAAAGGCATCTATGCGGTTGGGGATGTGTGTGGAAAAGCTCTTCTGACTCCAGGTAATGTTCCTTATCCTCTCGGGCAAGAGCAACCCTGTGTGTTACATAGGAATATTCAGCCTTTGATAGTCAAGTCAACTTAAGCAAAGTGAAAAGGATGAGTGTCATATTGTCAAAATGATTAGAATGTGTTGAAACAGATGTTTATTGGATTCCTAACATTTTCTGAATATGTATTTTTCCTTAAAAGCCATTTTAAATGCTTAATGAAGACTGGATTTTTTATATGGATGCTATGGTCACTCTCTGACGAACATTATAATAAGTTAGAATCTGAGTTGTTTGACAGTGGAAAAAGTGGCTTTGGAAAGAAGTAATTAATAATGGTGTTCTTGTATGAAAGTTCATTTTCAATAAATCAATACTGTTCCTCACTCCCTGAATCCCATATTTCAACCTACTTCCTAGGTAACTATTTCATGCTGCTTGTGCCACTTTTTTATCAGTAACAATCACTCCATCAGCTTTCACTCTGTAATCTATGTGACTTCAACTTTCAAAAATGGCCCAGTGTCTCTCCTCAGCATGAAAACTTAACCCAGTCACACACCCAAAGCCTTATAATGCCTTTAGGAATTTCTCTTAACAAAAGCAAAATAAGGAAGTTTCTAAAACTTCTTAACATGACCTAACAGTTGACATTATGTCAAAGTGATGAAAGTTTGTGGTGTATACTACTGATACCTTACTTGGGAAGAAAAACTGTCAATTTGAAAACAGTAAACAACTGATGCTTTTATTGAATTTAGGCATTCCCCCGATCCTAAATATAAGAATAAAAACAGGGTAAGAGAATAAACTTAAAAAAGTTTATAAAAATAAACTAAAATATTGTACTGTGAAATGAATATGGTAATGATACACAGCTGAAGATTGAAACTAATGTAGTTTGTTCAGTAAATTTTAAATAAAAGTAACATTCTCAGTAGGTAAATTTCTAGATAATTGGGACTTGTAAATGTGTCTTTTGTGTGCATGCCAAGATTGTACAGAATATGTGTAAGCTCATAGTTTTGAATTGTTAGCTAAGGCATTTGTCTTTATTATGTTGAACTGGATATTATAATGAGTATTGGCATAAAGCTTTGTAAGTATGTTAAGCCAGATAAATAAATGGTTAGAACCATTTTGCTGTGTTAAGATGAAAAATAAGCCAAACTCTGATTTTACTGTATCTTTGCAGTTGCAATAGCTGCGGGCCGAAAACTTGCCCATAGACTTTTTGAATGCAAAGAAGATTCTAAATTGGACTATAGCAACATTCCCACAGTTGTGTTCAGCCACCCTCCTATTGGGACAGTGGGACTCACAGAAGGTAGATATTTACAAACAAAGGTCATTTATGATTTCCTTCTCTCCCCTGCAAAATCTTTATTCATTTTAAATTAAGATGACATTGGTTTACAACTGTATATTTTAGGAGTACAGGTTCATACCTTTTCAAATGTGTGTTACCATACTACAAATACCATCAAAGTCCTAATAACCCTCCCCCACAGTTCCCCTTATTCAAATTTTGTCAGTTATATATTAAATGTGATTTAACATTTTTTTTCTCAAGTCCTGGTTTTAGTCCAAGGTAATGCATTGCATTTAGTTTTCATATCTCTCCTTTAACTAAGAAGAAAAATTGTTCATCTTTTCTTTTGTCTTTTGTGACTTGAACATACATCATTTGTGATGTTGTTTACTATTTTTCCTCGTGATTTAATTCAGGTTATATATTTCTAGCCATCTTTCCTTATGATAGCTCATTGTTATTGTTTAGTTTTTGACAAATGCTTTATTCTGTGCATTATAGATGAGGCCATTTATAAATATGGAAAAGAAAATGTGAAGACCTATTCAACCACCTTTACCCCAATGTATCATGCAGTTACCAAAAGGAAGACAAAATGTGTAATGAAAATGGTTTGTGCCAACAAAGAGGAAAAGGTATGGGGGAAGTCTAGTAAGCTAAAAGTGTCTTGAAGGTTGATGGAAATGAGGTATTTTGATGTATTGGTGAGGGAAGAGAACTAATTAATTAGTTAAGCTTTCCGTGATTCAGCTGGTACAGTTTTACTTTTATCTGTATGTGAATGGATGGATGGATGATTGATAGACAGACAGACAGACGCTTTATACTATTTCCCTTAGAAAGAGGGTTCTGCTACATTCATAGGGGGGATATTTGAAAGCCACAAAAAGCTGCCATTGACTAATAGACCACAATAGATAGGAAACTAAGAAATATTGATAAATTTAAGAATGTAATGCTAAGTAAATTTAAATGTAACATAACTAGTCAGTGAAGAGGAAGTTTTTTCAATAAAATTTTCATAGATTAATTAATTAGTTATCTACTTTATTTTTTAAGATTTTACTTTATTTATGCATATTAGAGCTCAGGTGTAGGCCAGAGGTGAGAGGGGTGAGAGGATTCACCAGAGACAGAGTGGGGAGCAGAAAAGGCAGACTGACTGAAATACACTGCTGAGGGGAGCAGCAGGCGAGACAGGAGAGGTCTGCTGTGCCATGTGGGTCAACTCCCTGGCTGGGGATTGAATTTATGCCACAGTGGCTGGTGATAGCTTGATAGTGCTGAGACTTTAACCCCTGCACAACCAGAAAGGCCCCAAGATAGGATAAAAGTTTTTTAGGTTGAAAATATCAGGTACTTCTCGTGAACTGTGTACCTAATAAAAATTTTTACAAGTGTTTTTCATTTTTTTCCCCATAGGTGGTCGGAATCCATATGCAAGGAATTGGGTGTGATGAAATGCTGCAAGGTTTTGCTGTTGCAGTCAAAATGGGAGCAACAAAAGCTGACTTTGACAACACAGTTGCCATTCACCCTACTTCTGCAGAAGAACTAGTCACACTTCGTTGAAAACTTGGCGATTCGAATGGTTGGCAGCTGGACAAGTAGACCATCAGAAATAAACCAAATCATTGTGTTTACTTACTGTTCCTATTTTATGTTTTCTGTATTGTAATCAGGATCTTTCCATAGTGTTAGTGTTCAGCACAATAATAGAACTTATTTATGTAATTGGAAATTTGTGATTGATTTTCACTTGATTACATCTTATAATAATGTTTTAATTTTTTTTTAATTTACAGCTCTGTGCTGATTTTTGTTTCACCCCCATCCCAAGTATAAAACTGTATGAAGTACAATTAAATTAATATACTTGAATGAATATAGCTTGCTAATTTTTATAGATGAAGGTGACCATAGCTCTTCACATTTAAATCATACAAATGTGTGGAATTTTTTTTTATAGATTTATCTTTATTTATTTATGCATGTAAGAACCAGGGTCCAGGCCAGAGGTGGAGGGGGATGAGAGACAGAGTGTGGAGCAGAACAGGCAGATCCACTGAAATACATTGCTGAGGGGAGCAGCGGGCAAGACAAGAGAGGTCTGCTGCGCCATGTGGGTTAGCTCTCTGCCCAGAGATCGAATCTAGATCAAACCCATGCCACAGTGGCTGGCTATGGCTTGATAGCACTGAGACTTAACCCCTGTGCCACGTGGAAGGCCCCTCCATGGAATTGTTTTTTTAAGCTAATAACTGTGCTCTGTGTATTGCAAGGCTGTTTCAAATATGTGACAGGGACCTAAGAATTTATAAGGGACTGCATCTCTTATTTGAATCTTTCTTTTCTTTCAAATGATGAAAATTGTGTTACTTTCATGAGATGTAAGTATATCAGACTTGGGAAAGATTGAGGAACTAGTTGTATAAGTGAGGGACATTTTATAAGTGATTCCTGCTTTCAGAAGGAGGGGGACTCAAAGTGCTTCAAGACTCTTCCTCCACTAAAAGTTGATAGTCCAATGAATGATTTCAATATTTGTGTGTGTTGTCACTTTTTTTTTCCTGAAAACTATTCCCAAAATTTTGAAAATAAAATCATAGCCTTTCCTTGATGTGTTGTTATGAACATATGGGTACCAGTTCATTTTCTAAGAATATTTCACTTTAGAGAATCAAATGCCCACAGTAAAGCTACCTAAGAAGGCTTTAAGTCCTTATTGGGGGGGAAAAGAGATTTCTCTTTTTATAGATAAACACCAGACGTAGTAAATTTAATGGTTGAGTTGGAAGAATAGTTTAAAAATCAATTAGGTTTTTAACTATTTCTATTAGCCATTACCAGCTAGCTGAGCTAGTTAGATTTGTCTTTGGCTTTCATTAATGACAGAGCTACTTACTTGTTTCAGTAAACTTTTACTGAATGTCTTTCTGGTTGGCCATTGCCATGCCTACATAACCACTGTACAACATAACGGTAGTAGGCCAAGGTTCTCTGCTCCACTCACCAGATGGCTTTTTCACCAAAGTTTGGGTGTGACTCCATAAGATACATCTACTTTAACACCATGTAATTTTGATTCAGGTATCCTTTGCACTGCCTGGTTTTGGTTTATAGTAAACCAGCATGAAAGTAACCTTTTCCAAGTTATAGTCTTCAGTGTTAGCAGACCTCAATTCTATACAACTGGTAAAGTCATCTAGCCTAATAGCCTCCATTGCACAAAGCCCTGGGGAAAGTGACAATGTATAAGGCAAGCACATTGTACAGTATGTGGCACATTGTAGGTGCTCTGGAGAGACTTACTGAAAGAAAGACATGGAACTTGCTTTCAAGTAGCCATATTGTCTAGAATAAGATAAAAATTTGGTTATATGGAGAATTTGGAATTTGAAGATTGTGGAGAAGGTCTGCGTGTAGAAGGAAGAGTGAGTCAGAATTGGGCAACATATACCTGGAAAATGGTAAGAGTTCAATTTGGCAGTAACATAAGAGGTGTGTGTGTGTGTGTGTGTGTGTGTGTGTGTGTGTGTGTTTAAGAACTGGGATGTAGGCCAGAGGGGCACTCCTGCCTGCCATGTGCCTGATAAATCCCAATAAAAGCCTGCAAAAGCCACTGAGGGCTCCAGGACTCCTCCTTTACCTGGTCTGCTAGGTCAGAAAACCTGCCCTGTGTCCTCCCTGTCCTGCCCCCTACAATTGGCGTAAGTCAGCAAGATGATCCATGCAGACGGGTACGAAGCCCTCCGAAGACCTCTGGAGCAGACCAAGAGCCTGTGACAACGCTGGAGGCGTCATGGCGGCACAGGAGATGGACAAGCTCCGGGAGCAGAACAGGCAGACAGACGAAATACACTGCTGAGGGGAGTAGACCTGTCCTGTGTCTCCCGCTGCTCCCCTCTTCGGCTTGGGCTCCACCCCAAGGCACATTCCCCACCTGTCCCCCAAGGACGGGTTCCTCAGCTCCTCACCCTCACTTGACAATGAGCAGGGCATCACCCACAGGTAACTTCACTGGCCTTCAACATATTTAAGCTGCGTAACAGCCACTCAGGGCTTCCCAAGCTTGGCCTCAGCTTTTGCCTTCTCAGTTGGCTTTTTCTCTGCCTGACTGCAGAGAACTTGGCGAGGGCTTCCTCAGTCAACTGTGGGCTCTCATACCAAGGCCCACTGGCCATGCCTTGATTTTAAACGATACCATCCACCCTCACGGTCCCCAAAATGTAACAACCTGCCAAGGTTCCTCTGCCTTCTGGTGGGATTGTCAGTCCAAGTCCGTTAGTCCAAGTCCGTTGGGCCTCTCCCTGCATCAGCACTGGTGAGCTCCGAATTGTGGTACTCTTCACCAATTCTTGCTGTCTCAGGGGTCGTTGGCTGGTCCTCTAGGACCGTCTTCTCCAGGAGAGGTCTCGTCCTGTAGCTCCCGGACCTTGTCCAACTCCTGTGGGATTCTCGCCGGCCGGCCAGGATCGAACCCATGTTGCACAGGCTGCTAACAGCTTCACAGTGTGGCACTCAACCGCCTGCGCCACCAGGGAGGCCCCAGCAGTAACCATTTTATTATATCTGCTTCATGGGTTAGGATTTGGCAGCTTGAAGGATGACTCTTCTATGGGTGTTGACCAAGACTGGTTTTTATTTTTTTATTTATTTTTTTTTTTTTAAATATTAAATTTTATTTTTATATTCCCCCATACAATTGCAAACGCCCCATTCTGACCCCAATCCTTCCCCTCCCGCCCCCCACCCCCCAAAAAGTGTCTCTGGTTCATAGTTTTTTGTTGATTTTGATTTTCACTTTCTTATATTCATTTTCCTGGTCCCTTATTTAAGTTTTCTAGATTCCTGCTATGAGTGAGACCATCCGGTATTTTTCTTTTTCTTTTTGGCTTATTTCGCTGAGCATGATCCCTTCCAGTGCCATCCATGTTGCTGCAAATTGCATGTGTTTATCTTTTTTGAATGCTGAGTAATATTCCATGGTATATATGTACCACATCTTCTTGATCCAGTCATCTATTTTTGGGCATTTGGGTTGTTTCCAAAGCTTAGCTATTGTAAACAGTGCTGCTATAAACATAGGGGTGCAGGTGTTCTTTGGAATTGATGTTTCTGTGTCCTTTGGGTAAATACCTAGGAGTGGAATTGCTGGATCATATGGAAGCTCTATGTTTAGTAGGTCCAGAAATCTCCACACAGCTCTCCATAGTGGTTGGACCAGTTTGCACTCCCACCAGCAGTGCAGGAGAGTTCCTTTTTCTCCACATCCTCGCCAACATTTGTTGTTGCTAGTTTTTTTAATATGTGCCATTCTCACTGGTGTGAGATGGTATCTCATGGTAGTTTTGATTTGCATTTCCCTGATTACAAGTGATGTTGAACATTTTTTCATATGTCTGTTGGCCATTTGCATTTCCTCTTCAGAGAAGTTTCTTTTTAGCTCTTCTGCCCATTTTTTGACTGGATTATTTTCTTTGTTGTTGCTGAGTCTCATCAGCTCTTTGCAGATTTTTGTGATCAGTCCTTTATCATTAGTGTTGGGTGCAAAAATGTTCTCCCAGTTGGTGGGGTTTCTCTTTGTTTTTGTTATTGTCTCTTTTGCTGTGCAGAAGCTCTTTAATTTGATGTAGTCCCAGCTGTTTATCTTTCTCTTCACTATCACTGCTTTGGGTGATGTGTCTGTAAAGATGTCTTTGATGTGCAAATCCCGTAGTGTTTCGCCTATATTTCCTTCTATGTATTTTATGGTTTCAGGTCTTATGTCTAGTTCTTTAATCCATTTTGAGTTGATTTTTGTGTATGGTGTGAGGTAGTGGTCAAGCTTCATTCTTTTGCATGTAGCGACCCAGTTTTCCCAGCACCATTTATTGAACAAACTTTCTTTGCTCCAATGCATAGTCTTTGCTCCTTTGTCAAAGATTAGTTGACCATAAATCTGTGGGTTTATTTCTGGATTTTCTATTCGATTCCATTGGTCTGTATGTCTGTTCTTGTTCCAATACCATGCAGTTTTGATGATTATGGCTTTGTAGTATAGTTTGAAGTCTGGGAGTGTGATGCCTCCATTTCCTTCTTTTTTTTTCAGTAGAGCTTTGGCTATTCGGGGTTTTTGGTGATTCCATATGAATTTCATCAATAATTGTTCTATTTCTTTGAAGAATGCCATTGAGATTTTGATTGGAATAGCATTGAATCTGTATATTGCTTTTGGTAGGATGGCCATTTTAATAATGTTTATTCTTCCAATCCATGAGCAGGGGATGTCTTTCCATTTCTTTGTGTCTTCTTCTATTTCTTTTAACAGTGTTTTATAGTTTTCTTTGTATAGGTCCTTCACCTCTTTTGTTAGATTTATTCCCAAATATTTGATTTTTTTTGTTTCGATAATAAAAGGGGTGGTTTTTTTGATTTCTTCTTCTTCAGATTTATTGTTTGTGTATAGGAAGGCTACTGACTTTTGCGTGTTGATTTTGTATCCTGCCACTTTACTGAATTGATTGATGAGTTGAATTAGTTTTTCTGTGGAGATTTTGGGGTTCTCTATGTATATTATCATATCATCTGCAAATAGTGATAGTTTGACTTCTTTTTCCTATTTGGATTCCTTGGATGTCTTTCTCTTGTCTTATTG